AATCGGAAAGAATATTTTTTTTTTTCTATTTTTTCATTAACTAATTATTTTTTATTTATTTTTATAATCCACATTCCCCTCACAAATGAAGCTACAAGTCTTACAGCCAACCTTCAAGGGATGCATTACAATATCTAAAATAATTAAAGCATTTGACGCCAACTTTTGTGGCGACTAAAATTATTTAGCCCCTGTTTGGTGTAGATTAAAATCAAATTTTTATTAGCTTTTTATCAAAGTTGATAAAATATATAGTTGAAAAGTTACGAGTCCCTTAAAATGTGCGGTTAAAATTAATTATTAATTTTGACTAGAAATTAAAATTAGATTTTAATTTATACCAAATAGTAATAATGCTCGGCTCTTCAAAATAGTTGGAGTACTCGTGTCGGACTCGACACGACATGCGCATGTGTATAGGATATGTGTCGGATCTTCCAAGTTTGGGCACTTCGTCGTTTTTGTTTCTTCTTCTTTCTTTTTCTTCTTACTTTTTCTTCTTTCTTCATCTTTCTTTCTTTTTTTCTTTTCCTTTTCTCTCATTTTTCTTGTATTCCCTTTTTTTGCTCTCTATAAGCCTAGCGCCATCGCCAAGAGGGTGGAGAAATAGGTTTTCCCTAAAATTTCTTCTTCTTTCATTTTTTCTTTCATTTTTTTCTCTTTTTTCCTTCTCCCTCTCTATCGATGGTTTAGGGTTTTATTTGTATGAAATGAAAATGATTTCCATATAGTACTCCACTAAGTCCAAATTGCAATCAAGTCACTCATTTTCTGGTTTATATAACATTTAGTAATTTCCATAATTGAAACTAAACCCCAAAATTTTATTTTATTCATCTTAACCCCTTATTCAATACCCAAATTCCTTCTCTGTGAATAATTCATTTTGGTTTATTCAAAATGACATGTAAAAAAATTGAAGGTTGAAAAACATACCCGTGTCCGATATTTGGACTATTTTCATTCATGTCCACGTATCCTATATTTTAGAAAATAAAATATCCGATACTTAGATACATACCCGTACCCGATACCTGTACCCAAGTCCAAGCATCATAACCAAACAGTACAGGAGCTTAATGACCTGTAGTACATTGCACTCGACAATTTCTAAGACGAACTCCTCGTGTGACAACAACAGGACATCCCTAACTCTTATTGTCAACATGTAGAACAATAAAGTACAATGTAATGCATGTTAATTACAAATCAAAAGCTATATAACTCGTAAGGAGTATATTGACGTTTAAAACCTAAATTTTGTTGACAAAGTAAAACGCAATCAATATTGATTTCAACAAATAAAAAGATGGTATTGAGACTGTATACTAACAGCATAACTTTGATAAAAGAAAATCATGTGTGCATCAATTTTACATACTATACATCAGTTCTTTTCGTCATCCACATCTTGACATGTAGTGAAGATACTTGACTTCTAACGACCATACCAACAATCCAAATCGTTTCTACCATACAATTTTCGCTAGTTTTGCAAAACTCGGTATGGTATCAAAAATTGTTCCGTCTACAAGCCAAACCAAAATATATCCAAAAACTTGGAACAATTGCATGTAAAATAACCTCGCCTATGTTGAAAGCAGTACTACCGCAGGATAAATATGTGCAGCATGGCATCTCAAGATATTGTATGCAAGTGACATATAAGGTGAAGGTATGTCCCCTAGTGTGTGTAGTGAAATACACTTACCTTATAGCAAGACATATTGAATTTTATTTAAAATGGGTGGCCATCACAAGTTGTGGCTTCTCTTGATCTTCTTCTTCAATTTCAACCGAGGCCTCTATCTTGATTTCCCGAACCCTTTTATCCCATATTCCATCTATCAACTTCCATGTCCCATCACTGATGATTTGAGTCTGCATGTAAACACAAAAAGTGTCAGCCTTACAGTCATGAAAAGAAAATAGAGTTAGCAAGAAATGGACATGTACAGCACATTGTACATACCTCCATTGGACGTGGTGTACCAAAAGTTGAAAACCCCAAGTTGAAAACCCCACGTTTCCAGGTGAAAAGGTCACTCTTCCTGGAAGTGAAATGCCATGGAGTCCCCAATGTCCAGTATATATGAGGGCTCCATATTCATCGACCGGGCTCACAGCAGGCTGGCAAACAAGAAATCAGCAATTTCTTTGAAATTGTGAACAAATGAATAGTAGACGAGATTCACTTTTATAATCTCCAGTTGAGGGAAGTATCCTTCTGACCATCTCCATGACCATTTAATTAAGGTTTGGCATCCATCCATCCCCCAAAACGTATTACTGGAAATTCTTATTTGCAATCAGCCAAAGCCCCCGCCCTACCCGCAGAGACCAGAAAAAGAACAAAATGGATGAATGAACACCACAAAAAAAGGGTTAAGGTTGTGCATCGACACTAAATGCAACAAAACAAATTACAACTTTCGGTTGTACCATATCAACTGCTTCACGAATTAGGTAAAAGTCCATAATGCTCATTATAGAGTACTATTCATTGCATCATTGTTACTAGAAAAGCTAATTCACGAGAAGTTGAAAACATCTCCACAAAGAGCTGGTGTGTAGTGAAGAAAAACAGAGGCCAAGATAACCAATTATGAGAGTAATGCCAAAACCTAAATTCAGAATGTACCTGAGGTATTCGTGGAGAACTGTTATACATGTTCCAAATTTCATCGGCTGTTATCTCTCCCTTCTCGAGTAGGACATCTGCTTAACATGAAAGAATGTAGCCAGAGTATCAGCAAGCAGCTATAAACGACAGAAAACTATTGCTGTGTAACTTTGTTACAATTTTTTAGGATAATAATGTGAGGATGCAAGACAAACCAACCTGTAATGGTTTCCACAGCAGGGCAGTATTCTCGTAGTACACTTGCGCATTTCTCCACAGAAAAATGCATGTATTCATCTCTAAGTGCTTGGAGTTAGGCAGCAAGCTGCAAGTGATGATCATTAATCATTTTATTTAATTTACACAAAAAGGACAAAATAGGTTCAATTGAAATAATATACGACTATCCTCACATTAGGCACAAGATCATTCTGATATATGTAATAGGCCTTCCCAAATGCAGTTATTCCTGTTTGTAGAATCAAGAATTCCGCAAGTCTTGAAGCTTCTAATGTTGCCTTTGTGAGCAAGAGAACCAGAAGGACCTTTAGGAGACTGTTGATCACATTTCTGAAGGTTTGAGAACATGTAGTAAAGCTGCTCCAATTGTTCCGAATTGAAAGCTCCACTAGAACTTTGGTTACTAGTTGTTTCGGCTTGATACCCCCGACTCCTAGTATTTTTTTTTGATTTCCAATCCGTGGGTTTCCCGTGAATTTCCCAACATGTGTCTTCTTTATGTCCCAATCGACGATAGTGTTTACACCAGGGTCGTCCCTGCAATTTTGGATCCATACCCCTTTTTAATGACGGGCCCAAATGTCCACCTCTAAGTCCAGCAGGCCCAAATCTACCAGAGGAATTATTATTTGCCCTAGGCCCAGGAGGCCAATTTACCTTAAAATATCCAGATCCACTAGGCCCATGTATATTTCCAAATCCAGTGGCCTGCCTTGGCCCATTATTTCTCGAATTTGAAGACCCAATTGCGGCTAAGGCAGAGGACGCGTCTCCGACGATCTCCTTCATCATCACCTGCCGTCGTGCCTCTTCACGTCGAACCTTGGAGAACACCTCGCGAGTGGAGGGCAGTGGTCGTCGACCCAATATACGGCCTCTGACATCGTCGAGTTCCCGATTCAGACCCGCAAGGAACTCGAATACTCTCTCGTTCTACTTCTTCTTATACAGTGCTATATCTTCTGGGCACTTCCAATCTTCGTCACTACTGAGGTCCAAATCTTACCATAGGGAGACCATCTCCATGTAGTAGTCGGTAACATCCCTGGTGCCTTGCTTTGTCTGCCATAACTGAGTCTTTATCTCGAAGATATGTGAAGAATCTTCAAAATCAGAGTATGTTTCTTTCACAGCCTCCCAGACATCTTTTGCGGTGGGAAGGAAAAGATATGTTTTTCCAATGGATTGTTTCATGGAATTGACGAGCCATGCCGTGACCATGGAATTTTCAGAATTCCACCGTGACTGGAGTTTCGCATAAGCTGGCTTCTTCGTATCCCCTGTTAGGTATCCTAATTTCCCTTTTCCATCAATCACTAATTTTATAGATTGTACCCACTCTCGAAAATTTCTTCCATTCAGTTTTTCCACTGTGAGTTGGAAGGAGGTGGTTTCGATTCCATTTGAGCAGAATGAGGAATTAGCCTCTTCTTCGAATTGGGATATTTCAAAAGTTGTGGAGTCCTGGTTGGTGGGTGGGAACTCTGTCATTATTCTGCTAGGTTAGGAGACCTTGCTCTGATACCATGTAGAAACGGTTGGACTCAAAGTTCACCTCTATTTCAATAATAATACAACCAATTTATAATACAAGGCTGGAAGAAGAAAAGGAAANCTTCCATACTTGGACGTTTTCTACAGTTTCTTCTAATTAGAAGAGTTTTTAGAGCAAGTTGATCCAATATGACTTCCTCTAAAAGGGAAGTTATTTTAAAAATTAATTTTCAAACAAAAATTAAAGTAGTTTCTTTTTTTTTTTTATAACCGTGAACGTCCAGATCAGCTTGCGTGCACCTTGACTAATCCCACAGTGACCTGAAGTTTATGATCGGGTACTCACCTCAGTGGCCCTGAGAGGACTCGAACTGGTGACCATTGGGGAGCAAACTCAGGACCTGACCAATTGAGCAATCCCTCAAGGTTAAAAAAAAAAATTAAAATAGTTTCCTCCAAAAGCTTTTCTACAGAAAGCAAATGCAGAAGCAGAAACCATGCCAAACCTGCCCTAAATTTCCTAGATTGCTACATTTTGCAAGCAAACCAACATGTAGACTATGCATAAAGAAACTACCACCAAATATGGAGATGTCCAACCTGAGACCGTCTGACCATAATTAGACTACATAAATTGGACATTGCTCGAATCAAGAAGTCTCTTGAAGTCACTATAGTCTATCTGATGAGAACCCACAGGGTCCCGTTCTATTCCTTTCAACTTTCCCCTCATGGTCAGCAGTGCTCTGCTCCACTCTGAAGCCATCGCAAGCAGCCTCTCTAATTGAACATTTGCTTCTCTTTCAAATTTTTCCAACTTATTCATTCGTTCTCTCTCTATCTCTTTCAACTTCTGCAAATACCCATCATAAATGGCATCATAGGTCACAAAACTAGAAAATGAAAACAATAATTAATAAATATCTGATGAAAGTCCAAACTTTACAACCCCCCCTCCCCCCCACCCTTCTCTGATGTACTAACTTTCAAGCAACATGAAACCGACATGTTTCAATGAATAAGACTGAAATTTGTTTATTAATTCGTGCAGTACTTTGCCTGCAGAACCAGAGAACCCATAAACGCCTATGAAATTTTATTGCCATATAAGTAGAAGGTATTGGTGATAAAGTAGCAGCAAGAAAATTACCCTTCAACTCGTCAAGAAAATGTACGTTTTCCAAAAGTCAAAATTCAAATTCTTTGACCTTCATAATTACCTCCATATATTCAAATAAAAATATTCTGCCATTTTCACTGGCTACACGATTCTGATTTTACTTTAAAATGCCATTTTCTTGAGGAAATGAGAAGATAAATGCTATTTTTGCTTTTCTTCTAGACGAATACGATATTGTACAGTGAAATACACTCTAGTTTAGATTAAAACCAAAACCCACCTCGAATAGCTGCTGTGCAGACTCAGTGTCGCCATCCACTGTGTTGGAACTCAAACTTGAAGAAGCATTGCGGGCCTTAATTTTGAGCCATTTAACACTAATGCAAACTGGTCTACTATACACCTTGTGGAGTAATTTTTTAGCAAAATCATGTCTTAACACAAAAGATTTAGTGGGTTTAAAACAGCGATTCAGCAGGGTCGTAGAAGAGGAAGGAAAGATATACACGCGTTTTGGTGAAAAATGACTAGATAATGATTGAAAATTCGATTGTGACCTCGAAAAATTGGAAATATGCATGCTCGCTCGCGCCCCTTTCACTGGGTTTCCTCAGCTGTTATCTTCATGCACTAACCCTCGCTCCAGCGTTATGCTCTCATATCGTGAGACGAAAATCCCTCGAATCTTTTCGTTGCTATAAATGGGCAGCGGGCAGCTAACCCAAATTATAGTTGGTAATCGAATATGCCCGGGTCGACACCCAACACACAGGGACGGATCCAGGACTGGACTACAGGGGGCTAATACGTAAA